GGGGTGGGGCCCCGACAGCAGCAGATGAGAGCTTTATTTGTTTAAACCTTGCAGAATCTGTAAGCATGCACAATCCTCTTGACTTGTAGTGCCTGATTGTAAAAAGAACAGTTGAATGAGCTCATTGTTTTCTGGTTTTTTTCTTTAATGTATTTTACAAACACTCTGCTGACAGTCCTGACACGCTGATTTCCATGTACCCGCACTTCAGCTGGGATTACAGCATTAATAACAGAGTTCCATGCATCGTGCCATTTTTAAGCATGATCGTTATGATAAAGGGCATATACTTAATTACAGGCCTGCTTAATTACAGCTCTGCTGAAGCTCGTTTGTTTAGGAGAATGCTAATTGCGCTGCGGAGCCTGCGGCTCGTCCTTACTTTCATCCACTGGATGTTGCTCTGTGCCGTGGAACAGCGTTTTGTTAAAACTGCCACCAAAAATTTGAAAAAAGGAAATTTTCGAAAACGTTGGCCTGGTGCTGAAAGGAGACCTGCCCGTGTGTGGCTTTTGGTCCCAGCAGAAACCAGGTGTGGGCAGGCTCCCTCCACCCTGGCCCCACCTCTGTGCCCCCCGACCTGCTCTCACTCTCACTGCAGCCTCCTGAGCCAGCCGTGGCATCGTCCCCATGTCACAGACAGGGCTGTGAAGGCTCCAAGGTGAGGTAAGTGAAGTGGCTGGCGTGGCTGGGGTGTGGCCACATGGCCACGGAGCTGGGAGGAACACTCGGGGGCCAGCTCCCGGCCTGCGCTTTTCCACCACAGCCCCCCACAGTGCCAGCCAGACCCCAGGGCGGGTCCTCCCACAGCCCGCTGCTCCTCCATGTCATTGTCCTGGAGTGTGGGCTGGGATGGCAGCGTGGAGGGTCAGGTCATTTGACGCAAGACCGTGGCCTGGTCTGGGCAGGACTCGGGGTTTCCTTTCCTTTTCTCTCTATCATAGAAATGGACTAGGTGAGAGTTTCTGTCCCCTCCTAGACTGGGAGGAGCCTTTGTATTTCACCCTGGGGGTCACAGGGGCTGGAGAAAGGGCCAGTGTGCCCCAGAAATGCCACCTTTGGCTCAGGAAAGGCAGGTACCGTCCTTGCCTCTGGGTTGTGACTAGGGACTGGTCAAGAAGTCTCAGCGAGAAGCTCCACCCTCACTCCTGCTGATTGGCAGAGCCACCATGTGCAGTGTGGGCATGTCACCAGGTCCTCAAAGAGTGACACCCTGAGTAGGGTAGTGAGAGACCGGCCGCTCAGTGGCAATCACAGCACCTCACCCGGGGGAGAGTAGTGAGGGAGCACTGGCTGCGGCCAGGGGAGAGCGGGAGAAGCGAGGGCACCTCAGGGCCGGGGAGGATCTAGGAGCGCCTTCAGGGACGCGTGAAAAGTACCTGCCGTTGGTTTTAAGGATCCCGTGTGGCAAGTGCTGGGCACTTTAAATGTAGAAAGGCTGCCCAGAGAAGGAGAGTAGAGCCGGTGCTGTGCAGTTAGAAGGAGCCAACATCCCACAGGCCCCTCCCTGGCTCTCCAACAAGCAGCCCTGCTGGACCCTGGTCAGCAGCTCCTGTTCTGCCTCCTCATGCCTCTTCCCCAGGACAGCACGGTCTCCCCAAAACGGGGAGATCTGTCTGGCCTCTCTTCCTGTGGGTCCTGAATGTTGTGGGGTCTTATCTGGACGGTGCCCCCCTGTCTGGCTGCACTTCCCACAAGCTGGGCACAGCGCTGGACTTGGGGTGTGTTGGACATGGCAAAAAAAGTGGACAGGCTCACACCATCCTGGGACATCAGGCCTATGGCTGCTTCTCCTCTGCCTCATGGGGCCAGGCTTTAAGTCCCCTCCCCTTCCTGGCCTCCTTGGAGGCTCTGGGGATGACCCTGTGCAAAGCAGTCCCCACACAGGAGACCACACCACACCACGCTTGGAGCACAGCAAGATGAGCGGCTCCCTGACCTGGCACCAGGAGCGTGGCACCCTTTCTGGTGGTCCTCCCCTTTGCTCTCCGTCAGGTCACATGACTGAAAGTCTGCCTTCCTTTCTCCCTGTTACCTGTGTTGCTTTCATCCTGTTTAATACAGTTGGATTTGGGGAGCTAAACTACAGGACTTTACATAACCCTGAGTAAGCTCCACCGGGTAGTGTGGCCCAGGACCCCAGTTTCTGAGCTCTCTCCTGGGTCCTGTGCTGTTTCCCAGCCTAGGCTCACCCTCCAGGCTGCCCCAGGTGCGCATCAGATGGGCATCCTGTACGCGTCTTTGTCCGGGTACCTGGTGACGCCCTGGGTGCCCTTCAGAAAGGTTGCACGGGGTAACAGTCCTGCTAATCTGCCCTCAGATGCCCAGGCCGGTGGGCAATCTCCTAACCTTAACAGTCTCCACTCGCCCCTCTCTGGCTGTCTAGTGGATAACACAAGAAGTTTCGTCAAGGTTCTGCTGACGCTCGCTGCTCATGGCCTGCCGGGATCTTTGGTCCACTGATTGGTTAAACCTGTGAAGCCTGGTCAGGGCCTCTCCTTTCCGGCAGAGGCTCCCCTGACTCCACTGCTCATTAGAGCCTCCTGTGCTGGCGGGAGTCCTGCTCCTCCTGAGCAGTGAGATCCTGCCAACCAGGCCTTCTCTCTGCGCTGGTTAAGTCTGGGCTCTAGAAGACTGGGGGGGGGGGCAACTTGTGCCACCTTCTGCGTGAGCTCTCAGGAGGGTGGTCCTTTGCCCTCGGCTCAGCTCCATCACTTCACCAGGCAGTTCCAGTCCCCTCTGTCACGAGCCCGGATGTACGTGCACCAGCTGCCAGCACCCGGGAGCTGCTTCCACTCCTCAGGCACCGTGGCTACGCTCCTCTCTTCCTTCTCCGGGGCCTTCTTGGTGTGTGTGACAGTGATGTCACCTCTGATCTTCTTACCCTTCGGCACCTCAAGGAGCTTCTCTGTGAAGAATTCCCTCTGCCTGTGTCAGCACGGAAGGTGAGCCCGAGGCCGGCTCCTGAGTGTGCTCATGAGGGGGGCTGGCCATGGCCCAGCAGCCCCCCAATCCCGGCTGTGCGCGCCATCCATGCCCTTCGGTCTCCAGCAGCTCAGAGAGAACCGTGTGTGCCTGACACCCAGTGTAGACGTGCTGTCCACACAACACACCCCAAATACACGTGCTGTGGCACAGATTTATGTGTACCACTATGTATTTGATCAAACTATGTATATGATACGTATTATACCTGTGTATGTAAAAATGCTTTGTTATTGGTATCCAAGTTTTACAAGTTAGGCTTTGGGGGGTCACTGCTTCCTACCTGTGTGACCTTGGCAAGCCCCATCCTCTCCGGGGTCTCTGCTTCCCCATCTGCAAAGTGACCAGAGATGGCGTGAGTCCTGCATGCCCAGCCAGGGTCAACAGCATCAAAGGGTCAGAAGTCAGAGCACCCAGGTGTCATGGGGGCGAGTGGTGGCCGGTGAGCGGTGCAGGAGCCAGCATGGCCTCTTCCTCAATGTGGGTGGGACTCGGATCTGACCCACTCTGGACTTTCAAGGATCCTTTATTCACAGAATGGTTTCCAGGTGTAAATAAACAAGCAAACATAGGTGCTGGACAGCCACTGGGGTCTTGAACAGGTAATGAATATTGTTGGCCCCTCGCTGCTCTACCCCCTGTGCCGGGGAGTGTCCCCAGCACCCATTCAGGGCTCAGCCCCAGAGGGGTCTATCACAGTCAGTCACAGGGCGGCTGCAGTGGGAGATGGCCGCTGCCTGCCGGTGTCCTGTCCCCACCCGTGCTCAGGACCGCGCCTCCCAGGGAGGGGAGGTGCCCAGGCAGTGGTGGGAGCCTGCCTCGCTCTGCCTGCTCCTCTTCACACGTGGGCAGAGCTCCTTCTCCCCTGTCCTGGGATCAGTAACGAGCCTGGCTCACTCGGCCGTCCTGCTGACGGAGGGGCCGGGCCCGGCTCTCCTCTTTCTCCTGTCCTCCTCCGCGCTCCTTCTTTCTGCGTCTGCTGCTCTTCCTTCCTGGAACCGAAAGATTGTCCAGCCCTTGGCTACCAGAGGAGACCCTGGGGGAGCGGAGGATGTCATTTCCCAGGGCACCCACCCACCAAGGCGTCTGTCCCTCCCTCCATTTCTTCTAAAGTCGTGGCCCCTGGCAAGGCCACCACCCTGGCCACCGCCTGGCTACATGGCCTGGCTGCTCAGGCTCCTCCCAGCAGCCCCTGGGCCTAACACCCTCTCCAGGAAGCCCCTGTCACTGTGTCCCTCGTGGCACCCCCCATGTGGTGAGGTGGCCAGTGGCAGTGTGGCCGCCGAGTGCTCTGTCCACTGTCACGACGCAGGGCCAGCAGAGATGTTGTGCTTTCTCCCTGTGCCTTTGACAGTGAGAGCTGGGGACAGGGCAGGTGGAGTGTGGGGAGGGCTCAGAAAAGGAACTGCACCTCTGGGCCTGGTCCCCTCATGGCTGGATACCCGTCCACGCCCCTGCCCTTGGGTCCTGTTAAAATCAGACTAACAGCCTGCCTCAGCCCTGAAGCCCGGGACTGTGACCAAGGGTCATTGACAGTACCCAGCCTGTGTGCACACGCATGCGCCCTGCCTGCCAAGCCCTCTGCTGGGGGCTGTCCTCCTCTACATGTGACCTCGGCTGCTCACTCAGTCCCAGCTGGCACTTGTGCCCAGTCAGCGACTCCAGAGCCCCTCTTTCCTCCAGCGAGGCTTTACCTGTGAGCCCAGCAGCCTGGGGAGACACTGGCTCCGCTCAGACGTCTAGCCAACACACACCTCCCAGAGTGCAGCACTGTCCCCTCCCTGCTGTCAGCCCCTTGGTGTCTCCCACCACTGACAGCCTGGAGAGACCCCTGGGTGGAGGGCGGAGTGGCTGTCTAGACCTCCAGCCGGGGGCTGGAGGTGCCTGTGTGCCTGTCCCCACCAGTCGTGGTCCTGGGAGCGGGGCTCCTGCTCGGGCTCAGTCGCACCCTCTGTGGGTGACGTCACTGAACATTGGTGGTGGCTTCATGCCATTTTCTCTTTCTTCTTTTGCAGCCATGGATGGTGTGCCTTTCATGATTTCAGAGAAGTTCTCCTGTGTTCCAGAAAGTGTAAGTCCTGTGCCCAGTTGCCCCTTCTTCTGCCACCCTCTGAAGCCCCTCTGCCTTGGCGTCTCCCTCGGGCTGTTCCGGGGATGCCCACACTCCTGCCCCAGATTCCTTGGGCCTACACGTGGAACCCAAAGAGCTTCCTGAGAGCTGGGGTGGCGCTGCTCCCCCCTGGGCCCCTTTGGCTGGTTCCTGCACCTGAGGTGCTTGAGAGGTGGAAGGAAGGCGTGGGGAGACCTGGGAGTGGGGGGCACGAGATGGCGGAGGCTGGCACACAGGGTGCCTTTTCGTTTCAAAGGTGGTGCCAAGTTGAGGCACACTTCTCGGGTTGAGAAGGTCGTTTTCTGTGTTCAGCTTAGTAATTTTTGTTCTTTTTTTGTTTAATGATGATGGTTTCCTGTAGCAAAGAGCCTCCCCACGCCCCCCTTGCATTCCTGCATTCTGTGCTAACTGTGCTCTGCTCTGAGGCCCCCAAGGGTGCAGAGCACCTCTGGCCAGTCTCCACTCCCCAGCCCTCTTGGGAGACAGACTGAGTGAGCTGGCTGAGACTGGAGGCCACAATTCAGACCGTGAGAGGCGCCTGCCGTGCACAAGAGCCCGAGCTGGGCTGCCCGCTTGCTTGGCCCTCCAGGGACCCTCTCAGCAGATGCCCCAGCCCCAGGATGGCAGCAGGCATGGCCCACACCAGTTTGGTAAACTTGTTTCTGGCTTTATGCTTTCTCTAGAAGATTGCCTTGAGTAGCTCCAAATCGAAGTCCCAGTTTGGGCACCCGATAAAGAGCCCCTCGCTGTTTTTCTTGGAGCCAGCTTAAAACCACCCGGCCTGCAATTTGACCTGCTCTGTACTTTCCATTTTCATGAAATATAATAGGCCTCCTCTGAACCCTTCTGGTAAGCAGCTTAATCTTGAAAAATGCTCCTGACGTGACACGCGGAGCTCGAGTAACTTCCGCGGCTCCACTGGGCCCCGTTGCCATGGAGATGCTGGCGCCTCTCCCACGGCTCCTTGGAGAGGCCCGCTGCCCGCTCACCAGCTCCAGTCAGGAAGTTTAGTGGGTAGTTAGGGCCTAACGATGCGACAGCTGGACCCCTGCTGGACCCTGGCGGTGCAGGCAGGCGGCTCTGTCCTCGTGCGCGCAGGCTGGCAGCGCAGACAGGGCCAGGCATTCTTGGGACTACTGGCACAGCAGCCCCAGGGGCTCTTGGTGTCTAACTTGGTGGCCCCGTCCCAAGCCCCTGCCCCTGTGACTGTGCTGCTGCTGGCTCAGCGAGCACTGAAGGCCATAAGCACTCCTGCCGTTTAACCCCACAGTGGCCTGAGCTGTTTGGTAGTCAGCTTTATGGTCGCTGTGATCAGATACCGGACAAGCTCAGCCTGGAGAAGGAACACTTTATTTTGGGCCCATGGTTTCAGAGGTTCAGTCCATGGTGGGCCAACTTCGTTGCTCTGGGCCCGAGAGGAGGCAGAGCATGGTGTCGGAAAGGTGTGGGGAGGGGGCTGCTCACCTCATGGTGGCCGCGAAGCAGAGACACAGTCGGGAACACAGGGCAGCTGCTGCCTTCCAGGGCACGCCCCAGTGGCCCAGCTCCCCAGCCGTGCCCCGCCCCCATTCCTTCAGCTCTCACCACCCAGGCATCTCACCAAGCATTGCTGCCCAACACAGGTGTCCTGGGGACACCTCACGCCCAAACCCTAACATCTGCACTGGATTTCCAGGAGGCTGGTTCTGAATCTGGGTCTTCAGACTCCAGAGCTGGCTTCCTGCTACCACCACCCAGGAAGTCCCCGCAGCCCATGCGGGCATCACCTCTGCCCCCTGCAGGCTGCCACAGGTTCTGTGGGTGACTCTTAGGGCCCACCTGCTCCTCCCAGGCCACCAGCAGCTGGCCTAGACTCCAGGAGGCTGGGCCCTGTGTCCCTCTCAAATACAGAGCTGACAGGGTTAGAAGGGACGTGGACCGGGGGCTTCAGAGGGCTCCTCCGGATCCAGCCCAGTCTCCCGTGGGCGTCTGTGACGCTCATTGCCTGTGTGTTTGGTTTTTCACGCTGAAAAGCCAGCAATTTTTTTTAAAGTCCTCATTTTCACAAAATTATAGAAACTCCCATTAAAATGCAGTGTCAGCATCCTTCACCACCACTGAGTTCAGGGACCTGGAACCACCCAGCTCCTGCCCCAGACACCACGGACTCCTGGAAATCTTTAGGACCCACTACCACCCTGGGCAGTAGGTCAGGGTGATCTCTGGTGACAGCCTTAGACACCCCCAGCCCCACAGCTCTAGCTCTGCCCACGTTTTCCTCTGAATGTGGGAGAAGAGAGGCAGAGTCCTCTGCCACTGTCACTGTTCCGGAGACCGTGAGCGCCTGGGTGGCCCAGCAGTGAGCCTGCAGCTCAGGGCCATGCCTGCTCTCTGTGGCCACCCTGCACCCCACTACTCATCCCTGTGCCCCCCTGACAACTGTGGAGTTCTGTGAGGAAGAGGTGGAGGCATGCAGGTTCCCACAGTGTAGCTCAAGATTTCCCAGTTGACACCCATAGGTGTTTTGCAGCCGGTTAAAAGGGTGTTGATCTGTGTTTTCAGATGCAGCCCTTTGATCTCTTGGGAATCACCATCAAATCTCTAGCAGAAATTGAGAAAGAGGTAAGTAGGCTACCCAGAGAAGGGCAGGCCGGCTTGGTCCACCACAGGGTATACCCTCCGCAAGGGATCTGTGGGCTTCCCTGGGAACAGCTGGTGCAGGATGCCCTTCTGAGAAAAAAAAAAAATTATATACACACACACACATACATATACATATATATATCATTTAAATCTATTAGAAAAAAGTAAAATAACTTACTTTTTTCCCCTTCATTAATGGGATTAAACCCAGGAATGCTCTGACACCGAGCTATATTCCCAGCCCTTTTTATTTTGAAAAAGGGTGTAAGTTGCCCAAGCTGGCCTCGGACTTGCAATCCTCCTGCCTCAGCCTCCCAAGTAGCTGGGATTACAGGTGTGGCCACCGTGCCTGGACTACTCACTTTAATGTACTTAATTCTTCCAGCCAAATATGACCAACATCCCATCTTCATGTTTAAATTAAAGGTGTTAAGTAACAAAGGGAGCTGTCGGCACAGCTTCACTGTTTAAAATGTCTCAGCCCAGTGAAGGTAGAGGCCGGGGTCCGGCCCGGGGATGACCTTTCTTTCTCCCTGTTATACTATATGCCACCAGGAGAGACCTAGGGAAGTGATCAGACCTCTTTATGACTCAAAGGAGGGATCAGGAAACCTTGTGCTTGATGAATTAGACCCCATTTGGCAGCCTGATTTGGGAGTGTTCGGTGTTTTTCTAATTTAAAAAAAAAAAAAAGAAAAAAGGAAGCCGTCCAGGATTAGAGCAGGCGCAGCTCTGAGGAGACGGGGTTGAGATGGTGGCATCAGACTGGAGGCCAGACCTGCCGGTTCCTTCCTGTTTTCAGAGTGTGCGTCGCCCCTCTGTCTAGTAGCTTGTGAAGCAGCCACGTGGTGCAGCCAGCTCTCCTCGGAGAGGAACATTTGTCTCAAAGATGGAAATGGTAGGACCATTTCAATATTCTCCGCTCCTTGGGGTTTTCTCCAGTGTATGCAGCTAGCAAAAGCAGGTTGCATTATTGAAAGATGGCTGAAATCAAGGAAAATTGAATCAATGTAGTACAACAAATTTCTAAACCTGTCATAGCAGAAACAAAACAAAAAACTCCCCCTTTGTCTTTGATTTTCAGTAAATCATAAAAACCAACCCGATTGTCACCTATAGTTTTTTTTTGTTTTTTTGTTTTTTTCTGATAACTTAGGAAAAAAACAGCTGGCGACTGCATTAAACAGGCAGGTGCACATGGAATTTCCTGTCTGCCCTTCTCAAAAGCAGACGGCCATGGTGGTTCCAGGGGACCCCTGCGTATAAACGCCATCTTGCGTGGGGCCCAGTGGATGTGCACGGAAGGCCTTTGAGGTTGGCCTGCTCCAGCTGTAGGTGGAGGGCCTGACCTGGGCTCTTTAAGATAGGCCACGGTCTGGTCCAGCGGACAGACATGTGAACCAGCCCCCAGCCCCCTGCCCTCTGTTCAAAGGGGAGAACAACAGAGCTTACCCTGGGGCCTTGTGGGAAGGCCGCCGAGTGAGCCCCCGCAGGAAGGCCGTGCTGGGGGGTGCTGGGGGAGGCAGCGGCGTGCCTTGGTCCCCAGCTGTCCTGCCCCCACGTACCTGCCACGTCACAGCTCTGGGCTCCGGCTGGTGCCGTCATCCCCGCCTCTCACCCCGGCCGACTGGCAGACTCGAGGCTCCAAGTGACAAGACTGAGACCCACTCTTCTCCATGAGGCTAGGGTCTGTGGGTCCATGTCCCTGTAAGGAGATCCTCTGGCTGGTGGGGACAACTGGTCTCAGAGGCCAGGCAGCCTGGGTTCCAGCCCTGGCTGGGCAGCTGAGTGGCAGGGATGGAGTGGGCAGGAGAGGCCAGTGGAGGGCCCAGGGCGTGTGGCAGGACAGCAAGCTCGCTCCCCTCAGTGCTGCCAGCTCACTGCATGGGTGTGGCAGCCCCTGAGGCAAAGCCCGGGGGTGGGGAGGCTCTTGGAGCAGGCCCAGCTCGACCTCACCTTTCCACCCAAGCTTTGCCAGCCCCAGTTCCCTTTGCTGTAAAGTCGGGTGGTGACAAGGACACCTAGCTCACAGTACTCATACACTTTACTGAGACGGCCTGTGTGGCTTGGAGCAGTGCAGCTGTGACCTGTGTGGTCACCATCACCCCCACCCTTCTCCCCGGTCATCCCCGCCAGCAGCCAGCCAGCCCCTCAGGGCACAAGCCCAGCGGCTGGCCGCCAAGAGTCACCCCAGTTGACAAATCCTCGCCGTATTCCTCATCTTCACTGATGGGTAAAGAAGAGCACATCTGGGCTTGGGAGGCCAGGAGCGCTGGACGGTGGGGACCAGGCGAGACGGAGCACGGCGAGCGCTGCAGCCGGGGCTCAGCAGACTCCAGTGTCACTGCTGGATAGTCCTTGGTGCCCTCTGGGGAGGCTCTTTGCTCAGCCGTCCCCCGCCCACAGAGAACCCGCAGTGGCCTGTCGGGCCGTGGGAGCTGGAGGCCGAGGAGGAGCCTCTGCTCTCGGGCCCTGCCGTGCGGGCCTAGGGCAGGCAGGTGTCCCCCAGATGGTTTTCTTTTCTTGCCCCTTTTTTCCCATTCCCAGCAAGTCCGGCTGCCTCGGTTGGGGGCCCCAAGACCTCAGCTTAGAAATCGCTTTGCTCCTGAAATACCTAATAGTATTTGACACTATTAAACCAAGGCCAATAAATGAAGAAAATGCAGAAAAATACGTGGGAGACTGCCCCTGGGCCCAGGCACAGATGCCCGACCTCTGTGGCTTCCTGTCCACCCAGACGCCTCCCACGTCTGCCCAGCGTCCTCGGCAGGCGGGAGAGGCCTTAGGCTGCCCTGTGGGCAGAATGTCCTCCCACCTTGCAGGACACTAGACTCAAGCAGTCAAGCCACCTGCCCAGTGGGACTGCTTGGTGGTCCCAGCACTCGGGGCGGGGTGGGGCTGAGTGTGACCCTGGCTGAACACGCCACATCCACTCAAGGGGATCAGGACTTCAGTGGAAGTAGCCTGTCCACCCGAAGGCAGCTTATCATTCTGTCCCTTTAGCCCCAGGCCGGGTTGTTTTCCTGCCACCCTGTGCAGGTGGGGGACGTTTCTGAATTTCATCCCAAGCCCCATCCCACCCCATGACCTCAGAAGCCCCTGACCCTGTCGGCCCTGAGCGCTGTGGGTAGGGACCTGAGCAGGAGAGCCTCAGTAAACTCCAGCCAGGCCCCGTCCTTCTAACCCACCCAGCCAGGACCGCTGAGCTGCCTGGCACTGAGAAGCACGTGGCAGGGGACAAGATCTCGCCCTTTTGTGGTGGGCAGTTCACCCTCAGCCCCCAGAAGGCTGCTGACCTCAGGGGAGAGTGTGGCACTCAACTCAGGCAGCCAGGGACGCCTGAGAGCAAAGGACAGACACAGGCCAGCAGCCCAGGGCCACAGGTCAGCACCAAGACCAGGGGTCTACAGAGACCTCCATTGGTTGGGATATGCTCTGAGGTGGCTGGTTAAAGAATGAAGCCATGATTAATAAAGAGATTCACTCCACTGCCATCACCCCCGGCTCCCAGTGATGGCCTCGAGGCCTCCTGTCTGCCCCCCTTCCAGCAGCCACCATCCATGTGTCACCCACATGTACCCACTGCTCAGAACAGAGGCTGTGTCCGCGCTGGACATGGTGAACAAGCCTCAGGAGGGGGAAGTGAACCTTTGCCCTCCCCGCAGCCACAGGAGCCACCAGAGCATCCCCCCAGCTGCTTGACAGCTGTGAGCTGTCCCTGGGCCCCAAGGGTCCAGGCAGCAGTCATGTTGCTCTGCGGGAGGGCAGCAGGGACCTATGGGGCCGTGGTCCACCACTGCCCCAGGAAGCTGCTCTGGCCGGGAGAAGGAAGAGTGTAATTTTGCAGCCGACCCCGTGATGAAGCGTCTTCCCTCGGAGTGAGAAGACGGGCGTATAAATATTCTCCTCCCTGCCGCTCTTTATTTCCCTCGTAAGCAGCTGCCCCATTTCTCCATCTGATGGATTCCCCGCAGCCATCCCCAGCCTCCCTGGCTCTGCGGTCCAGGCGGCAGCCTCTGAAGTACCCCGAGCTGGGCCACTTAGCCTCTCCTTAGCGCCCTGCCCGCCCTGCATCCCAGCCTGGCCTCCCTCAGGGACCTCATCATCCCTTGTCTCCAGGATGGGTCGGGCGGCAGTGGCCTCTCCGGTGCATTTCATGCATAACTACCTGCAGCCTTTTAAAATAGGAGTGAGCAGTCCCGGGATGCACGGCGTGGGGTGGGGAGACAGAGCCGCCAGCCCCATGCAGAGCCCTTGCCCCCAGCTGCCCGCTCACCCGAAGCCGTGACGCACACCCTTCCTGCCCTCCAGAGTGCGCGTGGAGACCTGGCTGAGGGAAGCACTCATTAGCCCACCTCGCTTCCTGGTGAGCAGACAACCTCCATTTTCATTGGACTTGAAAGCTCAAAGACGAGGGAGCGTCTAATTAGTAAAGGGACGTTCTCGTATTAATCACTCCCTTAAAATTGACAAGGGAGGCAGTTCATTTAACCACTTAATTGCTACAGGTTTTTATGGGCTGCTGTTTGCAGACATATTTAATGAAGAAGTTATAAATCTAAGGGAGCTTAAAATTTTAATTTTATACCTAAATATTTTCCTTGTTCTCATGTTTGTAGTCAATCCTCAAGAGTGTAGTCACGTGGAATGTTCTTTAAATGAACATATTTGCTAACTGGCGTGATTTCAGTTTTTAAAACATTGGTTCCAGCAATTAGGCATTTTTTTCAGTTCCCAAATGACTAGAGAAATTCGTCTTGATTATAATTGCTCTTAGCCACGCATATCTAATTTGTGTCTTTTTAAGTGTTAATTAGTAAACAGTTTGAGCTGACATCTTTATGTGTTTGTGTGTTGAAAAATGGGGCTTATTGCTTATTTAGCTTGGGGCCGATTCCACTAGCATTTACGTCACGACATTGAGGTGAAATTAATGAAATTACCTTTGGCAGCACAAGGTAAAAAGCATTTTCGAATCC